AGAAAAAAAGTAGGACTCAAGAATTTTACACCCCCTAAATTGTCCTTTAAATGTAAAGACAAGAAAAGCATTTCAAATATACAAGCTGTTATGCTCATGAATTCTTTGGAAATAAAAGGAAATCCTTAAGGATAAAGTCCAGTCAACTTAGATTTGAATAAAAATAAGAAACTCAGGAGTAGAAGTGTTAAATAAATGGTTGATGGTGAATATTGAACATATTTAAACATGAGACTAAGACCAAAATGACACAGTGTGGAAGCACACCTTTAGAGCCCACCCAGGTGCCTTTTACCCAGATGCCCCAGGTAAGCCCAAGTGCCCATCTTCCAGTTGCCGTGAATAATAGACACCAATGACCAGCAGCTGCTCCTCCTCCAGAGCACTAGTACCTTAGTGTGTAAGAGGTACCTTGCCAGGGAAGTCATGTCTCCCATGCAACCAGGGACAAACTGACAGCCAGTGATAGACCTGAATGGGGAAACACAAATTTGTGACATGGTTTATATACTCCAGAACTCTCCCATGGGATTGGGCTGAGGCTAGCTAGACCTTACTTAAGACCACATCCTTGCTATCCTGCTTTACCCCCATCATTATGGGTATTTCTCAAAGAGTTCTTTCTTAGTACATCACATACACATGGATCCCTGACCTACACGTATTATGGTTTGATAGTCCTTGTGCTCATTCCTTCTACCCTTCCCTTAGGTTTTAAATATTTAAATATTTATCAATCCCTTATTGCATGAGAGTCACTTGTTTTTATGTAGCCAAACATCAGGTAGCTACGGTAAAACTATTACTACTCAATTTAATTATTCCTTTAGAAGTCAGTCTTGGTCTGGAGATCTTTACATCCAACTTCAAAAAAATCTTGACTGATATTTTGTCTGGTCAATAAGTTTAACAATTCAGAAAAAAAAATAGAAATAAAGCAGAATTTACATACTTTTGCAAATGGGATCTTTAAAGGAGTAACATGTTCATAAAGTCCTTCCAAGATTCTATTGCACACATGTACCAAATGCACTCTAGTTCCATTCAAACGAGAAGTTAGTATGAACTCATAATTCTAGGTTTATTATGTATATTTCTGCAAGCAGAAACAATACTTGAGGTTAAGAAAATAAAACTGAATGAGGTTAGTAAATTAGCCAGTGTTATTAAACAGTTAACATTATGTGCCTCCTAAGATGGTTCATTTATTCACACCGTACTGTAACAGAGAAACAATAAAAATTTGTTATTTATGGCACTTATACAACTTATTTTGAATAAGAGGAAGTTTAGGAACTAAGAAATGGCTTATCTTAAAATTTCCTTTTAACACTGGTGAGCTATTGAACTAACCGTAAACTGCTGCGCAACAAAGAAGAAAACAAGAGTAGGTGATATACTGGTAAGTGAAGCTGTAAACTGAATTAATTCTCCATATCTTTCAGGTATTACAGCAAATAAAATAGATAGAATATGCCAATAGGTGGTGCTATTGCTATGTGGAACACCCCAAAATGACAAGAGGAAGAACTTTATTGAGGAAAATATTTGTGAGAGAGAACACAAGACAAAAACATACCCCTAGCTTCTGAATGCTTCAAGAAATGGCAGTGTCATTTCTTCATTTCTCCTGTTTGAGCTTGAGCCATCACGTATCATTATCTCATTGAGTCCAATTGAAGTGTTCAATTTATGTGTCCCAGAACAAATCTATAGCCAACATCTCCATTTCATGGGGATATTGCAAGGAATAATATCTACTCAATAAATCTCTGATATTTCTCAACTGGCTTGAAAAGACATCTTAACCACATTCATAATACCCAATGCGACAAAGGTCTTTAAAAATAGAGGAGAGTGAGTGCATCTGATATCTATATCATATAGTAGAATGACTCCACAGTAATCTTTTTTGGGGGGGAAAGTTAGAATGAAATATCTGTAACTTCCTAAACTAAAACAACAGTCACTTTGCAATAAAGTTCTGTAAATTTCAAAATAGCTCTCAAAAGGAACATTAGTGATGCTAAAGGAAAGGGGAACAATATGGATAGCTAATAAACAGCAAAGAATCTTTAAAGCATCATTTTGTGCATGGAAAATGGATTCTTGACATTTATTTTTTATCTGTGATGAATTAATCATCTTAATGTTAATTTTGTGAAATCAGTCTTTATGGTTTGAAAAGAGGTCCAGGTGTAAAAACAAAGTCACTTTGGGTTTGGGATTAAAAATTTGACACAAATAATCAACAAAACTGAAAATTTTACCTCATTCAACATGCATTTAAAGACTGATTTGTGAAGACAGATTGTTTTTGACTCCAATGGTCTTCCAAGAAGAAACTGGGCTCATCAAGTGAACCCATTAAGCATAAGAAATTATTGTTGCCCCTCAAAGAATTGCAATCAAACAAAATAAATCATGTTGTACATCAAAGTGAAAAATAAAATAACAAAACAATATTTCATAAATTTTATAAAGTTCTTTCTAAGTACTTGATAGTCTTGGCAACTTTTTGAGATCAGTAAGATAGCTAATGGTGTTAGCTTATATTAATTGGCCAAAGCAAGTCACATGGCCAAGTTTGATGTTAATAGGTTTGGAAGGCTTAATCCCCTTATGGAAAGAAAGAGTCATCTAATATTAGAAACTATAATGCAATCATCAGACAATGAATTATATTATATTAGGCTTAGGGAGGTTTCTATTTGAGTAAATTAATAGGGTAAAAATTCAAGCAAACTCTACCAGTTTCATCTTAACATCATAAAAGATATATTAAAGAAGTTCAAGTATTGAAGCTTCTCTCAACCTTTCTCAGCAGCAATCATTTCAGGATGTGAAAGTTGAGTTAAGGGGTAAGCAGCAGAGCACCAGGTGCAACCACTCCTTCACCAGCTACACAGCATGGGCCAAGTCACGCAGCTTCTTATCTTTTAATATTGGCAAAAATCCAGGCCTCATTTTTAACTCACTGCATTGCAGTTCTTTTCTAGGACCTTATAAAGATTGATAGAGTGCTGGGAAGCCATTGGGTTGAAAGTCCAGATGTACATAAATCAAGTCATAGCATCCTTTAATTCAGAATGTTTCTGCCCAAGTCATTACAGGGTATAAATGGAGAGATTTAGAGTGAGTCTGATGGGATTTGATGATCTGAAAGGTAAGAGATATTAAATATATATTTTAGTTTCATGAGTCACTGCAATAGTTTCACATTAGACTGAAGCCTTGGTTGCTGCTGGTGTAAAATGTATTTTGAATAAATGGAGATATAGTTTGGGGACATTAGAATGAATTGAATGTGATTTTTGGTGCTCATAACTAAGATCTGATTTGCATAAAGAAAAAATCCTATCCATTAATAAAAATGCATGTCAGCAAACCTCTTTATATATTAAAGCTCTGATCTCTACTATGACTAGTTCTAGATCTAATGATTTTTACATAAATCTATTTTAGGATAAGAGCCCAAGATTCTTGTGTTTTTTGAAAGAATTCCCCTGATCCTTTGGGTTTGAGCCTGAAGTCAGTCTACATTTAAAATCATCTTCATTTTTATACTGAGGGACATGAAAAGCCACAAACCCAATTTATGCCCCCAGGGTCTCACACAATGGAGGCACATCAATTTTAAGCTTGTAAAGTGAGTGAGGTTTGCTATAATCTTCTGTGAGCCCAGCCCTTTCTGCATTCCTTCCTATGTTTCAATCTTTTGTTCTCTAATGACTCAATCTCACTTTTCCTATCAACACCTATTTTTCTAAAATAAATAATTTTTATTAAAATTTACCAACAGAGCTCAATACCTGAACATGGTAAATTTAATCTGTTAGCATAGGCCATGGTATGCAAATATCAATAGAAAACAAAATTCTAGCCAAAGAAAAGAAGTTCTAATGGGAAATTAAAGACAACTAAAAATGTAAGTGGGATATATTCCTCTCTTTTGTAAAATCACAGTGGAGAAAATTTAAAAACAATGATTCAAAAGGATAATTGGTTCATACTGATGTTACATTTCTGTCCACCCCTCTGAAAATTTTACAGACATTTTTGATGAAAAAAATTCTTAAGGGAACAAAGAAGTTTCCTTCTCAGTGTGACCTCTAAAAACATTCTCTGACATGAAAGAAAGACTAAATTCATATTTTTTCCAATTAATACTAAAATAATTTCATTTTATATAATTAATATGTTGAAGAAATTTTGAATATACATTTTATTTTATTAAATAATGTATGCAAATTTAGTTTTATTAAAATTTATTTAATTGCAATTATTATAGAAAATCTGAATTCTTGCCCTGACGATGTTACTTCTCAACTTTATAAAATCAAAGCATTGAATTTATGAGATAATATTTAAGGTAGTCTGATTCTTTCAATAAATATATTTTTTTGGATTATATCTTCCAGTAATTTCTTTTTCAAACACATGCAAAAATGGCAAACTTTCTGAGTCTTTACATATTTGAAATGACTTTGTTTTCCTTTCATACTAGACTGGTATACTTTAATTTTACAAGAAACATCAGATTTCTATAGTAGTCTTGCATATTATAAATGCATAACTTTAGTGTGTTCCTTCCCCTTGAAAATTACAATCCAAGTGAATCACTTACACGCTTAGGGGATAAAATAAATTCCTGGACTTCTCTGAGGGCTGTGATACATTAACTCATGTAGGACACTGTCATAGTTGGGTTTCTGATGAAAAATAAAATTTTGAATGAATTTTTAAGTCATTATAATTTGAGTTTTAAACCCTTCACTCATGAGCTTTGCCCATCAGAGCAGTTATGGTGAAGCAATAGCCCATGCCTTACCTTTAGCCACTGTTTTGTATCAGTTGGGAAATCAAAAATTTCATTGTACAGACTTCCTGGTAGATACTTGGAAGAATTGCAACATATTTAGCATGTCTGGAAATGTCTTTTTTTTTTTTTGCTGCCCACATCTTACAAAGACATAATTGCCTGGTGGGTGCCTTTTGGGATTTTTAAGGCTCTTGTGTGAATAAGGAGAAGTGCAGACATGTGGGCAGAGCTGGTCATTTTCATTGTGGATCTCATGCTTGCTTTGGGCATTTTTGCTATCCTATATGCTGTTTACTTAATAGCAGCCACGGGTATTTTGATCTTAATCCTTCTCTATATTTTCAAAGGGGAGATGGGAAAAAACTGTGACTTCAACAAGGGCAGAATCTGGGTACTGGATTCTGGCGATGCTTCTGGAAGCCATTCGCAGGCAACATAGCGAGAATCAGCTCCAGGATGGTTCCTGTTCATTTTCCAGCTTCAAGAGAAGGGCCTTCTTGCCCAAGGAGAGTGGTTCTCTCTTCTGAAGAGTGAGGAGCTCTCTGCAGTGGAGGAGACCCATGGGAAGACTTGCTGGAACACCGGACCCACCCATCTGAGAGGTATCTTTTTAAAAAGATATCCTGGCCCCCAAATCATATAAGCTTCTGGTTCCATTAAGTCTGCATTCACTACTCCAGAGTAATACCTGCTATTGAACAAAGAAAACTTGTGTACAGTGTTATATCTTATTCATCAATGAATAAGATACCAACCAGTATCTTTTTTTTCTATAAAAGAGATATTTTTTAAGGTGAGCATGTGGAATGTTTAGTTTAATTCTCCTTTTGTGAATAAGATAATACGAGTTACATGCATGATTGAGGTCAGTAGAGGAAAAATAAACTAATGCTTTTGATCACTATCTTCCTTTTTTCAAAAATGGACTTGGTGGCCTCTATGGGGACTACAAACAGTTCTTGTTTTCAGCTGAAAAGTCCCAATTATTCAGTAAATCAGGGAGTCCTACCGGTGTTATTTTCTCTCCCAAGCATTGGTTAGACACAGGTTGGGAGGTTGAAACTTCTGTTCATTCTTCTCTTAGCAGTTTGACTAAAGCTTGGGAGAAGAGAAGAGTTTGAGAAAATGGATGTTCCTTCCATCTATGGGTTGTATTTCCTGGACTCTAAGTGGCAAAAGTAGTTGTTCTCGAGTGGACAGTGTATTCTCAACACAGTCCTTGGAGCAAAAAACAATGTTTGAGCATGTGAAATGGCAGAAAGGAAATTTACTGTCTTTTGAGTCTAGTGTCCTGTGAACAGTGGAGATTGTAAGGAAAAAGTTTCAGGGTAATCTAAAAATAACACTTCAAACCCTGAACCTGGACTAGTTTGGAATTACCTGGTATCTTGTTTCTATTTCATTGCTTCAGTTCAGTGGAAGAAAATGGATCAGTTTTGCCTTAGTTCTTGTCAGGGAAATGACCACAATATGTGTTTGGATTTTTATGGTATAATTGCATATTTTTATAGTACATAGACACATTTTTCTCATAACGATCACTATCTTCCTTTTTTCAAAAATGGACTTGGTGGCCTCTATGGGGACTACAAACAGTTCTTGTTTAAAGTCCCAAAGTCCCAATTATTCAGTAAATCAGGGAGTCCTACCGGTGTTATTTTCTCTCCCAAGCATTGGTTAGACACAGGTTGAGAGGTTGAAACTTCTGTTCACTCTTGTCTTAGCAGTTTGACTAAAGCTTGGGAGAAGAGAAAAGTTTGAGAAAATGGATGTTCCTTCTATCTATGGGTTGTTTTTCCTGGACTCCAAGTGGCAAAATTAGTTGTTCTCGAGTGGACAGTGTATTTTCAACACAGTCCTTGAAGCAAAAAAACAATGTTTGAGCATGTGAAATGGCAGAAAGGAAATTTACTGTCTTTTGAGTCTAGTGTCCTGTGAACAGTGGAGATTGTAAGGAAAAAGTTTCAGGGTAATCTAAAAATAACACTTCAAACCCTGAACCTGGACTAGTTTGGAATTACCTGGTATCTTGTTTCTATTTCATTGCTTCAGTTCAGTGGAAGAAAATGGATCAGTTTTGTCTTAGTTCTTGTCAGGGAAATGACCACAATATGTGTTTGGATTTTTATGGTATAATTGCATATTTTTATAGTACATAGACACATTTTTCTCATAACAATATCTGTCCAATTTGCAGAAGAACTGATAAATTGATTCCATTTTAGCCATTGTGATTACTACTTCTTAAACCAAGCCCTTGTCCTCAGATTTCATCTCCATTGCTCTGTGGATTTTTGACATCTCAACTTTTTGAAGTATTTCTTCCCAACAAACTGAAAAAATTGTTTCAGTCTGTATGTAAGGTAACACTTAAATAAACTTCTTACCAAAAAAGTAGCAAAATTACTCAATAAGGAAAATAATTAGCTTAGTCCCATAGACAGTAAATACTTAACCTTTTAGTAGATTTTGTGTTCTAATTGCAAAAAAAAGAAGAAAATGGTAACTATGTGAGGTGATAGATATGTTAATTAGCTTGTGATGATTACTTCACAATATACATGTATATCAAAACATCAAGTTATATACCTTAAATATATACAAATTTACGTATATATATATATTAGTATAACATCAACTTATGCACCTTAAATAACTATAACTTTCAATAAAAAAGCTGAAAAAATAGAAAAAATGTGTCAAAAATAAAAAATAAACTAAAAGCCCAAGAAAGAAAAAAAATACTTAAACTTTTAGAAAATGATGAATTAACTTTGAATAATTATGTTTCCCATGTTTTAGCCATGGCATTTGTTCGAGTGTAATAACTGCTCCACAGGAGAAACTGATAAGTTTTGTTGAATGAGTACAGATTGTAGTAAGGAATTTGAAAATAATTCACCGTTACATATTTTCCCAATTTATACACAGCTGTAGAGGGGGTGACTTATCTGGTGGGATGTGAGATATACAACTAGTCCAGACCTTAAACTATTGCCCCTACCTGCTAACTACCTGCATGGAATTTACAATTACAGAAGCATTATTTTGTGAAATGGTTTTTCAATTCTAAGAAAACTTAGCTATTATGCAAATATCATGGAAGAGTTACACAGATTTTTTGTTTCTTTTTGTCTTTAAATTTTAATTACCCAGCGACTTCTCTAGAAGGCCCAGAGGGATAAGGACACAGCTTAGATCCATTTTGATTCAGAGGTGACAAAGGAGTGAGTCCTGAATATGAGACACTGTCTGAAGTCAGGGATCCTAGGGAAGAACTAAGGGGCGAGGGTATGAGAGGGAAGTATGGACAAAGGGTGAAGGGGCATGACATGCAAGCCTTGGGTATGATCAAACATAACATGTTGCCTTGTGTAAGTGTTTGGATACTTAAGAATCAGCTACACTTGACTGTGTAAACAGTCAGCGGCGATGGGCCACAGTTGCACCCCAACAAAGATTTCTTGCAACAGTCTTTGCCATTTGTCCCAGGGCTCTCTTACCTCCTGTCTGCTCCTAATGTAAATAATTAGGGTCTATGATAATGACTCGGTAAGAAAAGAAACCAGTACTGCTTTATATTTTGAATATCTTTGAGGTTTGCCTTCAACCTCCACTGTGTACCTTACTGCTGCCTTCACAGCACCTGCTGGCTCTGCAGGGCACTGGGGTAGCATGCCCCACCTGGCTCCTGCAGCTCCCTTGAGGTCCTTTCTGCACCCAAAAGCTGTAACTGTCCGGTGGGTGGGTTCCAGAAACCTAGACTTAGGTCTGATACATTCTAAATGCTATTATGTGAGAAGTCATTTCTAAGACATGTTCTTTATCAGAGAGATTCGGCTAGGATTCCTTTGGGCATTATTTTATAGAAAGTAGTAGCACAGTCTTAAAAGCCAAAAGGACCTTGAAAGTGATTGAGTGCACTTCTTATCCAATTAAGAAATGTCTGCTACAATATTCCTGAAAGATGGCTGTCCAAGTTCTGCTTAAGCATTTCTCATAAGCTGTATAGGGCAGCCTGTTGTTTAGAAGTTCTCTGTAATATCCAATAGAAATGTAAGTCCCTACAACTCTTCGTCCTATATTTGCCCTATTAAGCAATTTAGAAAGTAGTTGACTAAGCACAGTGACTTCACTGGACTCACAAATTCTAAGAAGAAAGAGGATCTTCTCTCCTTATGAATTTTCTAGTTGCTACTCACACCATTAAACAATGTTGCCCTTTTCAGTGTAAATAGGCCTTATTTAAGATCATAACTCCTACATTAAATCTCGGCTTTATGGTGGACTTTAATAGAGGATTCTTAATTTGTCTTTTCTGACTTCTTATACATATTTGCTAATCAGAAATTTTGAAATTCATTTCTTCTAAGCTTCCTAAAGTCTGGGAGTGTTGCCAATTTGCACTGAAGAATAGCATCTTATTAGCACATTCGTAACGATTAAAATATAATTCTAATGCACCCTGACCCAATTTCACAGCACATCAAAAATTTAATTCAACCCCAGATGATTCTCACAGATGTCCAATCATTTTCCAGTGGATGTTGTTATATGGGAAGTTAGATGAATTTGAACATTTTGGAAAACTGGCAATCCTATCAATACAATTGTATGTGAATACAGGAAACAGCAACACTTAGAATATCCTAATCTTCATAGAATAGTCCCTTTTATCAAAGAGAGCTGAAAGTGGAAAAAATGGGAACAGGCTCATTGTCCTGTATCTGATGGCAGTGGAACCAGCTCAGGTGGACCTAGGGCTCTGAGGGGAAGGTCCCATGGCCCATGGCTTTGTTACTAGGCTTGGGGGCTAGAGTGATAGAAGCCCTAGTTTTTCTCACTTTGTGGATGGCTGAGGGAGAGCAAGACAAGGAGGGAACTCAAGTCCCGGAACTTATGCCTATTGTCCCCCCCTTTTCTTGTTTCTGGTGACATTTCTGAAATATATAAGCTTTTGGATCTGGAAGTCCAGATAGGATCGTGGCCACACCCACTTTGGGAGTTTATTTGTGTCAAGTCCCTGCCTTTGTAAGCTTCCATTTGAAAAGAAGGGGGTGCGGACCCCATGACTTAGAAGGCTTCTTCAGGTCTCAAATACTGTAAACTCTACAGAATAAAATGAGTTAGAATTAGAAACACAAAACTTGGTCAGCCATGATGGCAATTTGTACAGAGGGTTTCTTAGGGTCTCTCAAAATGTCTTGCTAACAATTGGGGGACAAGATGTGGGAGCACACAAGGGACAAGGTGACAGTTTTCAGGAGCATTTATAGAATTGAAGGAAAGACTCCTGAAGTAAACTTTCTTAGAGACCCAAAATGTATCCCCATGTTCCTATAGCAACACCTGCTCACAATTAAAGAGTGACATCATATACACACCTGCATCCCAGAGGCATCAATTATCCCAGTGATTCAGACAGGCTGTCCAAACTTCTAAACCCATGAAATTTTGTTGTTTTACAAGCAGCACATGTCTTTTGTATTCAGTATTGATCACTTAGAGTACTTTTCCTTCAGGATCCCAATTTGTTCACTCGTGAACAAATGAACACACAGTGTAAATAATATCAATAGCCATTCCTGGGCTAATATTTTAG